GAGAAGTCGCGATCACGAGTGTCGCACCGTGTGAGGGTAGAATCCATTTCAAATGTCGGGTGATATTTCGAATCGCGCGACATGCATCCAATACTGACACTCTTTATTGCAAAAATGTTTCACGACCCGGTCACCTGCATCCCCGATTACGTTGAACTTTGACCTTTTCGCAAATGACTTTATTGCGGGACGAGAAACACTTTCCCGCATGTTGCACACAGAATTACGCTAGCGGATAACTTTCCGTGGATACGCGAGGATCGTCCTGAAAATCTTTGTCCCTGTGTTACTATTTTCATTTCCACCAGGGCGTCGTCGTCTGCCTTCAGTTCCCGGAATGCTCCCTCACTTTCACTCCCTGTTTCTCTCTCTTTCTCCCTTTAAAAGTGGTCCGACATTCATTTCGCGGGATGCAACGACGGCATGCCTCGCTTTTCGCAATCTAATTTTCACCGGCGTTTAATCTTTGTGTACACTCGCCGGCTCGCGTGCAACCCGGCAACGCGAGTCTCTCAGGAAAGAGCAGTGAGCGGCGGGCACGTGCAAGCTTTTCCAATATTTTTCGAGCCGAGCTATTACTCCCGCCTTGACAACGTACCCCTACACCTCTCGCGTGTTTTTCCCTTATCGTTTCAGTCAAAATCACATTCATCGACCTCTCGTGCGATTTTTTTTATTTTCTCACCGAAAATGATTTATTCGCGAAGAGAAGATAGAGAGAATGGAGGAATTTCGGATAAATGTCAACGGCTAAAGTAAATTAACCTCTGCATATTCGACGAATTTTTGAGCACACGTTCTATAATTCGTTACATCAAAAATATCGTAAAGTTAAATCTTCGCCACAATTGGCTTGAAATTTATAAAGATTATATCCCGTTATATTCGTGACATACATTTCCAGTTAACAGTCAGATATGATAAATCAATTATTGGAATATAATAGGTTAATAGCGGCTGCCACTAGATACGTTTATGATGCAGCCAATGAATGTATGCATTTATCAGCTTAATTTCGATCTATCCAAATTAAACAGAAATTAGATTGACATTAATAATTTTAATTATTTGTATATTTAAAAACTTTATAATCACGTAAAAGTAATAATCTACAACATTTCTTACTTACACATAATAAAAAAGAGCGACATAGATATCACACAATGACATATATTTTGAAAATGAAGAAAAGGCAACTGCAAAAATCATCTTGAATTAATTATTGCTCGAGCTAGCTACTTCAACATCTACGGTCAAAAAATCAAAACAAAAATGAATACAGCGGCTAAATTACGCAGACAATTAAATGAAACAAATTGCACATTGGCACTGTTATATCTCCCGCGAGCTTTATCTGTATTGCATTTTGAATTGCTGACCAGTCGGATCGAATCGATAGTATAGTTGCAGTAGAGTCCTCCTTCGCGAACGACCTCTTTCCTATTTTTGCTCTATTCCTCTGTTTCCCCGTTCATCCACTTTTAATGGAATCGGGCAAACGGTCACTTTTAGCGACGGAAGATCGAAAACTGCTGCAGTTGAGAGATAGACTCGATATTTGTTATGTCGGAATTTAACTCTCTCCTCCGTATATATCGGAACTTTCAAAGATTCTGATCGCATGAAAAGATCATTTCACCAAATGGTGTTGCAATTTTTTTTCTTTTTTATATATTAATTCACATTTCAACAATGTTGTCGAAACCAACACTGATGCAAATATCTTTTCAAATAAACATTGTGAAATCCTTAAAGTCCAGAATTTAATAACATTTATTAATTGAAGAGTTGAAAAATAAAATTAATATAGCTATTCGGATTGTTACTTTATCTTACTTTTTTATTTATATTTATTGAAATTCTGTTATAATCGTAATTGCGTTAATCACACATATTTGAATACAAGCACCACACATTTCCGTGACGAGTCTACGAAAGTTACACCGCGCGTTTACGAGATAAAATCGCAGCAAATTGTATAAAAAGCATCGCTGTACACGCACGCGTAGCCGCTTATATACATACGCGAAAGGGGTAAGTCGCAGCCTTGTTGTACATGCGTGTACGTGTTCTCTATATACACAGCAACCATGGTCGACTAATGGACCTGTTACGAGCAATTCCGGTAGAACGACAATTGCACACGGTGGTACAATACGTTCGGATAAGAGTAATTTCGAATGCACAATTCGATCAAAAATTACCCGTGCTTCGTCGGCGGAATAATATTTAGCTTAAATTACATCCGCGACCGAAGCGTGCGTGTGCGCACACGTGCGTGAAGTGTCCTGCGTTTGCAGATTAGAGTGGTCGTATCTGTCAACTGTAGAATCGTCGAGTCTCTTGTACATGCATTTTTGCAAGTTTAATTTTTCATCGCGAAAACGACGACCTCCCGCTCATTACTCGGCTGTATTTTTGTTTCTGCTTCTTCTACAAAAAGGACCGCTTTCATCTATACTGTTAGTTTTTAACTGTACAGTTACTTTGTAACCCTTTCTGTCTCGTTATTTTTTCTGTCTGCGAGACAAAAAATGTCTAGCTGCTGTTTATAAAAATTTAACATAATTTGTAACATTTGCCTCTGTGTTTTCTTTTATTTATAGTAATCTCTGTTCATGTTTATTTGTTCGTAATTGTTTTCAAGAATTATTTTACGAATAGTTTTATATACATATTTATAAAATGTGCCTATATTATCACTCCCTTTGAAAGTAAACTCACGCGGATCCAGAGTATGTATTTTAAGAAGAGTATTTCTCATATATATATATGTATATATATTGTAGGATATGTCGCGTCAATGTTTACTGCGATAAACCGCTATTATTTTTCAATACATTCTTCTTTTAATGCTCGGTAAAGTATGTCACTTGATGATACGACGGATAGTCGCCGTTTTAAAAATGCTGCAATAAAATCTCACGCGAGCCACGAGATCGTGGACTCTTCCAGAACGATTGCACTTCGGATTAAAAAGTTTTTTACTGCGTGCGATGTACTCCGACGTCGTAAAAGTATGTCTAATGACCCAGAAAAAGGAGACGCCGATACCGCGCCGTGGCAAGTAGTAAGTCGAGTTTATCGCGTACCCGGGACACCCGTAAACGTCGGACAGACATTTTTCGGTCGTGAAACGATCGTATAAATGTCGGCATTAGCTCGACTGCACCAGATAAACATTCTTTTAGCACCATCGGCTGGAAAATCACATTTTATTATTATCCATTAGTCTCATTGCGGGACAGACGTTTCGCAGATCAGGATCGACGTCGACTTGGCACAACGTTCGACTAGCTATAAAAAGATAAGATAAAAAGCCCGCATACATCTCGACGTATCGACGTCGCGCTTGTCGATGATTCACCCTCTCGCAGAATACTTCGTTTTTTGTTAAAGCTCTCAACTTACGGAAATAATGCTCATAAACACATGTCGATTTCCCCATCATAGGATCAGTACAATCGCAAAGTTTCGAGACCAATTTAGTAGAAGCGGTATATAAGTTCCAGATAGTGCATCTCTGGATGTCGTCCCTTTTCGACGAAGGTACTCTTTTACGCTCTCTCTTTCTCCTTCCCACCCCGTCTCTCTTTCTTTCTCTCTTCTCTCTTTCTCCGGAGGGCCGCTCGCAGCGAAGCGCGGCGCTGGTCTGACAAAGGAGCGCGTCACGTTCATCCATCTTGCACCGGCCGTCTCTTTATTCCCGAGGTTAAAAGCGTAGCAGCGGAGGCAGTTTGGACTTCCCGCCGCACTAAATCCACTAATTTCGGTCACCGACTTTTAGACCGGTGCATTCGTGTAGCCACCGCGCCGTGCCGCGCCGCGCGATCGATGACGAGAGAGATACGCCGTTCTCGACCAACGAGTATAAATTTCGCGAGCGCAATCAGATCGGACTTTTACGACGTTAATTCGTAGAAGGCTGCAAACGCCAGCTCGGAACTCGATACAATTACTGGAAACATTATTCTCGGGATCTCGATTCTTTTTCAGGAAATGTCGCGCGAATTCGTCTCACTCTAAAACTGGAATGTCTTGCTTTTCGATCGTGCCATTTTTGGATCGAGAATTTTCCGAGACCTGCAAATTTGACGTTTGATTTTACGTCCGTCATCTCCTTCTGTATTTTAACTAAAATCTGCGAGAGCCACTCTAAATGACGGAAAGTAAACTAATGATCCAAATTGCGAGAAGACTAATTACTCACACACAAGTAGAGCTGATGTAGGAAGAAAATATCTGCGTAACCAAGGACTGCAATTTTCCTTTGCAAATTAACGTTTTCCAACGCCGGCATGGGCGGGCGAGCGAGCGCAACTGTGAACTTTTTACTTAAATTTTAACACGAGAAACGAGAAACGTTAAAACGCGCAATTTTCATAAACGAAAGGTCCACAGTTTTGTATAACTTCCTGCTATACACTTTGTGATTCTTTATGAAACGATCACATGATTTCCAGTGCAAATAACTGAAATAATCTTCATCTAGATACAATTCCACAATTTTATCCTGCTTTTAGTATTGTTAGTTGAACTATTATGAGTATTTTTATTACGAGCAAATTTAATAACTCTTTATTGCGTTTGAAGTAAAATTAATGATTTAATGAAACAGACTGCAAGTGTTATAAAAGTTCAAAATTATTTTTTATCATCAAACAAGCTTTATATACTGAAAGCAATATCATTGTGAGAAATTAGAGATACCGTTTACATGAAAAAGGTATTTATGACGTGTTTTACAAAAATAAGTTCAAAATGAATAGAATATTAATTAAAAAGACACTCGCAGGCTTCTTTCGCTTCTTTAAAATATATCTTCTGTGCTCTTTAATCGGCGAGGAAAGGAAACCTATTTTTACCACGAAATGCGCGTTAAAGCAAACGAAGCCTCAAAATGCGCCTCAAATGGCAGGCTGGCCGTACGGGCATCATACAGAAATCCTATTGTGGGCCGAGTCTAATCAGAAAACCCCGCATGTTCTTTTTGTTCACAGGTCCGCCGACGATCCTGGTGAAGCCACAATCGCAGCAGGTAAAGGCAGGCGGGATAGCGAGCTTCTACTGCACTGCGGAAGGAGCACCGCCGCCCCAGATACATTGGCGAAAGAACGGCAAAAAAATCTCACGTAAGTCCGCGCACTTTCGCACCTTCTCTTTCTTCTTCTCTGTCTCCAATCCAATTTGCGTTTTTGAATCATCGCCACCGCGCCGGTTCGCTGAGAATACTCGAGGGTGTGATATTTGACGCTTGAATTGCGCGAAATCTGTGTGTCTTCTCGTTTCATGATAACCAGACGCCGCAGTGAAAAAAGATGAAAATTTTATCGAAATTAAAAAGTTCTTCTGACCTGAATCCACTTTTCGCTTTTATGTCTTCCTTCCTGTACCGGCTCGTTCTCACTCTCTTGCATTTTCTTGTGCCGCGTTTCTTCCTTTATCATGCATCGTTCTTTCTTTCGATCGATTCTGAGTATTCTTAGTTTTTGTTCAACCGACTTTTGCGCTCGTTCACAACGGAAACTGAACAAGTTCTCTTGGACGTTTCGAAATGTATCATATTTGATCTTTTTGTTAGACTTCGCTCGACCAAACAGTTCGCGACAGCTTGACGTTACAGTACTTCCATAAACCAAATTACAGTGTGACCAAGATAGTTATTCCTCGAAAATAGTTGCATACATTGGCCTACAGCTACGTCCACTGCATCCGTAATATAATAGCTTTCATAGAATTTGAAATCTGTTCGTGTAATATTCATGAATTTGTGGTTAATTCATTTGACCTTTAGTAAACCAGGAATGCATTTCCATAAATTGAGTGGTATTTTAAGCATTTTGGTGTAATATCTTTTCTGTGTCAATTAAAATGCTACTTTCTAAGTTTCTTGTAAAGAAATGCTAACGTTGTCAACTCTGCTGAACAAAGATTTAGTGAAATTTATATATATCGTTCCCTTTAAAAAAAATACAATTTCAAAATTAATCAAGAATTGAACAAGAAGAAGCGCGAACTATATATGGTCAAAGATAAATGTTGGAATAAATCTAAATGTAATTTAATTTAAATACTTTAGACATATGAGAGAGACTGCATGCCGATTATTTTCGGATGTAACGTAATCAAATTGAGGTAATAATAATAATTGTCACAAATTAAATTGAATCGTTCATTTGGAGAACTATTATTGCGAAAAATACACTAAATTACCTTAGTCGGGATTTAACTCAGATTTCTTTAAAATAAATTACTGCATAGAATTTTTATTCCAGTCTCTAACGTTGACCATATAGGTATAGTTATATTGGCGCTTCTTCTTACTTAGTCGATTTATTCATATGGCGTATCTTGTTTCTAATTTATTATTGTTAAAATTTAAGTTTTCTTAAAAAGGAGAAAATTTTTTTCAATTTTGACAGAAAATTATTGACTAACTAAATGATATCAGCAAAAAAAATATACTCTTAACATAGTCAAATTTTGTTTTACAATCTTTAGGAACCATCATTTTTGAGTTGAAATTACATTAATTTATTTTCGATAATTGATAAAGTAATATTTATCTAATTCATTCATGCTAATAACACTATAATAACTCGAAAATTATATATTTTAAATTGTGTTACTTTTAAAATAAGAGAGTAAAATATATTTACGTATTATACATATATCTTGAACTAAATGAAACATTTATTGAAAAATTGCGAAATACTAATTTGAAGATCAGATCTCGAGTTTCGTATGTACACTTTCATACATTCGGAAGAACAAATCCCGCGAGATGATTCTCTGATGACGCTTGATGGTTTTGCATAACATTCGGTCTGATCCGCGGAATGTATGTGCCCGAGCGATCACGGTTTGGTCCATATTCGTCGACGACTCACTAATCCGACGAGGAACCGACTAGATAATGGTTAGCGACCGCTTGTAACATTCCGGACGCCAATTCGCGGTGAGCGCGGACGGACGGGGGAGACGATAACAGGGATGGGCCGCTCGCTCTGAAAATTTATACAGACGCACGATCCAATTCCCATTCAATATTTCTCGGGCCGCGGAATTGGATACGAGAGGACACATATACTCCTCTTTTATTAGATTCCGCAACGGCGCAATTTTCGATCTTATATCGCCCGTTGCCGCCGCCGATCATTTTCGCGCGCCCTCGATCGTGCCGGTATTTTCCTCGCCTTTTGTGACGGGGGTTTTCCTTTTTACGGCGCAGACGTCCACCTCAATCTTCCGTCTTATGTCGACAGAATCCCAGTCCCGGTACGTGGTGCACCAGTATGAAAATGGTGCTTTACTGCGGATCGAACCTGTCAAGCCGTCGCGCGACAATACCAACTACGAGTGCCTAGCTGAGAACGGAGTCGGCGACGCTGTTTCAGCCGAGGCGACGCTCACCGGTTACGAAAGTAAGTAAGATTGCCGTTATTATCATTCATTTGCATCGATAGACAAGCGAATCCCCTATTCTTCAGCGAGGAAATTCGTATTTCTCAAAGGAGATTATTTTTTATACAATCAACTCTTTGTCTTAGGAGTTTTTGTTCCAGGCAAAATTTCACTCTCAATTTCTTGGCACAAATTTCAATTTTTATTAAATAAAGGTTTTAACATTTGAGTTAAATAATTATTTGACAATATATGTAGCAGAGATATTAAAAAATAATTTTAAATTTTTCTATAGATTTTTGGTAAGCCTAAAATATATAGTATATATATAGTATATATAGTATATATATTATATATATAGTAAAAAATTTAGACAAAATGATCTAATATATCTACGAAGTAAGTAAAAATATATGTGTCTACGAAGAGTTAATTATCATATACTTGAAGACGAAAGCAGAAGAAAAGGAATCGTGCACGTTTTTTAAACTGATTTATCTACTTATTTGTCTTGCGCATTCTCTGACTAAATAACGAGATCAGTTTTTAGAGATTTAAACATGTTTTTTCTGCAAATTCATACTTTGAAGCTTAGTTGCAAATTAAATACATTTTCTGTTATCATCTTTTTCATTTCAAAAGTTCATACAGATTTACTGTGTTCCTTTGAGATAAAAATCTATTTTACGCGTCCATTCGAAAATTGCAAAATGCTGTAATACGCGAGAAATCGCAAAAATTTGTAAACTGTCGAAGAACATGTTATGGAGCACATTTTTTATTAGATAATTATGATTAAATGAAATAAGCACACGGAAAGATAATTAGACTTTTTCATAAGCATGAAGGTACGCTTTGCGAGAACATTTTGCGAGCAAAACGTACTCACGTATCTTTGAGACGTATACGTAAGCCAACAGAAAGTGATACATCACTCAACCTTGTGGCGTAAAATTTTGCTTTTACGATGGCACTACATGAAAGAAAGAGAAGGTCCTTATTCTGAAACTGCATGTCCTGGCGTAATTTTCGTCGGCAGACTTTTGCTCAAAAGGACTACGTTATATGATACGATGGAAAGTTCTAGTTTTATCCTTCCGGATGTAGATGGTACACCAAGCACACGTTTTGTGTTTTATAACAAAGTCACTTGCCTTGGGGACAGTTTTCCCAGACGATATCGCGTAATAACTATTAGCGCTATCGGGGACGTCGCTACGTTGTTTAATATTTAAAGGAAGCTTCTGGGACAGCTGCTACTGTTTGGTAATGTTCGAAGCTTTAAGCTTCCTATCCCATACCGTGGAGTTTGACTGCGTTGCGCGCGGATAACGGCTTTGGAACTGTTTACTGATTTAAACCTCACTTAAACGCATCTCGAGTGGACAATGTGTCATTCTTGTATGATTTATACTTGAAACAACGACGGTTGTCTCGAATGCTCGATTAAATCTTCAAAATTAAAACTTTTTTTTAATCACATGTTTAAAATGCTGACATTACAACGTTCCTGGAACTTTGCTCGAAGCGGCTGATTACGTCGACACAGCATAGCGAGGTAAATCTTTCTGAAATTAAACAGAAACTTTTGCCCACATTTTGCTAGACTTCTTTCTTCCTCTATTTTCTCAGCTATGCAGTATTTATACGGAAGAACGGTTGGCTTAATGGCGTCCGATTCGACGACTAGACGGCAAACGACGTAATGGGGGAGGAGGAGGGGGAACCACCGCGCCGCGAAACCCTACAGTGTTCCCGAGGGAGAATCTCTTAAACTTTCGCAAAACGTTTTAATTGGCTTGGCCAGTTTTTTAATTCGATTCTAATTTCGTTTCGCGGATACGTTCGCTCGTAATTTCCACAATGAGGAGAAAACAACGCCCGATTGCGTTTTTCCTACGCTTTTGGGATTTCTTCATTCTGTCTTGTTTTCATTCATTGATAGTGCCGTGCCGATCAATCCAATACGCGCGGCCAGCTTTTTTTAATCTCGATTGTCGAACATTTCCTGTCAATGCTGCTCCCATCCGGCGGCCGATCCGGCAGTTCCTCGTAAATCACGGACATTCACTTGATTCCCTGAAACCTCCGCCGCGATTTCAATTTATTTGTTATAAAGTTGATTCCGCTCAGATGAGTCCGTTCCCATGAGCACAATAATAATAATGCACGCGTGCGTGGTCTACTGTGAAATCAGTATACGTCAAATTGAACGTCAGTTTTTGCCGTGTCGTTTATTCGCACTCCTATTTCATTTGCGAATCATTAATACACATTGGTCGAGAGGGAGAAAAAGGGAAACAGAGAAATAAATAAGTAGATAAATAGATAGATCGATAGAGAGAGAGAGAGAGAGAGAGAGAGAGAGAGAGAGAGAGAGAGAGGAGCATAGACTTCCTAAAATAAATGAAAATAATTACGTCGGCATCACAAAGCAAAATATTGTACATTCCACGTTAACTGCTCCACACCATCGTCCCGATGCTGTTTCTGCTCACGCTCTAAATAATTCAGGGAGCTTTTACTCCGGCTGGCCGACCGAGATATTTTTTAAGAGCGCACGAAAAAAGCTTTGATGAAAGACAAAGTTAATTCCGTCTATGTATTCCGGAATTAAAGGCCAAATTGAGGCTTTGCGCAGGGA